GTACAGGTTAGTTACAGAGCGGAAACTGAGCACAGTTGTTCCCGAGGCATGCCGGTACATGACGCATGCGCTCGTGGCAGTATGTGCGCGAACTACTAGTGTCTACAACAAAACAGACCTTACTTAAAAAATACCCCTCATATTATAAAAAGCTACTTGAGAGAATAGTAGGGGCAGTGTTTCTTTAAGAGTGGTCAAATAGTAGGAACATGGCAGCAGTGGTCAGGGTCAGCAGACCACTTAAGACATTACTGGCACTTCCACCTCTCCTTGAATGCATCCAAGGAGCCTCTTAAAAAACCCTCATTCAGAGATTGTATCAAAATCCATAATGTTGGAATCCTCACCCTATGCATGAGGTCAACACAGTGATTCAGTGAAGAGTAATACAATTCCAGTATCTTGAACACAACTCCCTTTTCTCCAGCCATATATAGCAGCAGACAAAAGGCTCGAGAGTTGCTTGAGAGTGGACACAGCATTATGCTCCCCTCTTCAGCGCAGTATCATGGCCAGTTTTTCCCTGCAGGCAAATTCTTGGCCATTATCCACCATCTCTTCTTCCTTTTCTTCTTACTGGTACAACATTGCTGTTTTGATCCTCCCCCCCCCCCCCCCCCCCCCCCCCCCCCGTACGAGCACAAAAACAAGACAAGCATGCACACATGCGCACACACTCACACACCTTGCGATTGAGGCAGCGGCGCTTGAGGCATTTCCACTGCCGCTTCATGCCTGGTTTCTGCCTCCGCAAACAGATAACGCAGCTACCACAGTCTTCTGTTATCTTGCAGGCCTGACACATACCACATTCAAGGCCCTGTAAAGGATGGGGGGAGATGAGGAGGAGAGAGAGAGAGAGAGCAAGAAAAGTGGCTAAGCCTTGAAACAGCCCTCAAGTGCTGTTAGAAGGAGAGGCTGGGGTCAAACTAGAAAGGAACCCAAGGGAGGGAAATAGCAAGGATAAGCAGCCGGTGATACCTGTTTGACAATCTTCAAGCATCGGCGCAGCAGGCATTTGATGCCAATGTGTAGCTCTGGGCTTTTGGCGCGCTTGAGACACACACTGCAGATGCCGCAGTCCTGAGACATCTGGCAGGCTTGGCACACACCACAGCCAATTTGCTGCAAGGGCAGAGGGGTAAGGGTAAGGAGGGAGGCAGGGAAGGCGACACCACAAACCCCTCACCTCAAAGCTGTACTCTTAGCCAGTCATCTAGGCCAGCTGAGACTGTCAGGAAGAGCGCACCCGCCAACAATAGGCCAAAGAAGAAAAAGCTTTAATCAGGATCGGGTTACTGGGACACTGAGTATAGTCCATGTTCACTTTATTACGGTCAATAACCAGTTCAAGAGAAGAGGAACATAGTCCCGTACAAGCACCGAGCATGGTATCATCTATACTGGCAGCAGCTCACAAAGCCCTCAGATCAAAGTTACTTCTGTGATCCACAACTCAAGAACTTTCAAGCAAAGATGCCAGCATTACCACCAAGCTGAATCTTTTTAAATGATATTTCCATCCTGCTCTTATACAGTGCTTCCTCATATTTCTAGTCAAGGGACCAAGAAGAGCTACATCTCCATTGCAAGTAATCAGGAGCCTATTTACTAGGTATATAACTTCTGGTTACCAATCTCAATGCACTAATCCATCCACAGTGGAGTCACATTGTTCTGAAATTACTGGGGATTTTGCTATTATGTTTTTAATTTCCTGTCACTGGTCTGGGGAGGCAGAATAGCCTTCTATCCATCTCTCAACTAGAGGGTAGCAAATGCTTATGCTCATATGTTTTATACGCCTTCTGTACATATACTGGAGAGTTTTCAAGCACAAGGGGGAATGCAGTCATTGCAGGTCAGCTAACTAAAATGGGACACTGAATGAGAGATAACAGCAAGCCTGAGATGCCACCACAAAATGCAAATCCTGGTCATACAGACAAGAGTTCTCTCCCTCTCTCACACGCACACATAAACGCACACATAGACAACATCAGAGGTCCATATTTTAATATTAATTTTAAGTGGGTAAATCATCCACAGCTGTTACCTTGTAATATCTCTGTTCCCGGTTGAAATCCCTTCTTTGAGCTGGAAACGACAAGAAGGAAAAAAATAAAAACTATGCAAGGAACAGGTATGGACAACTATAGAAAGGAGTTCACCATAACAGATAAGCTATTTGTTCCATTCGTGTCATGCAGGTATTCTGCCCTGTAGCTGAGGCAGAGCAGCTGAGGAACAGTCACATACATAACCTATGCCTGCAGTGGGAACAAAAATCAAACTGACAAAAGATGTCCTTCCGTTATTTCTTATTCACAGCACTGCCTCTTTCAAAAAAAGCACAGGGAAGGACTAGAGTAGCGGTTCTCAACCTGTGGTCCCCAGATGTTTTGGCCTTCAACTCCCAAAAAAATCCTAATAGCTGGTAAACTAGTTGGGATTTCTGGGAGTTGTAGGCCAAAACACCTGGGGACCCACAGGTTGGGAACCACTGGACTAGAGATTCAAATGGACCAACCACATAATTGTTTTTGTGAATTGTTTTTTCTAGGGCAGTACCATACTCATCCCCCACTCTTCATAGACTCTAGCTAAGGTCTCCAGTAAAAGGTTTCAACAGCAAAAGCTGAGACAAGGGTATCTCTCCTGAACAAGAACAAGCTTCTTTCATGGCTGAAAGTTCAGAAAACAAATCACACAAAAGCTATAGAAAACTCACTCCTCATAGCTAGGTCAAAAGATGTGGTATGTATGTTCTGACATTACCACAGCATTCCCCACCTTCAAAACAACTCTGGCCTCAAAGAGCAGTCTGCTCCCCGTGGCCATTATTTTTAAATTATTTCTTAGCTATACAGATTGGCTTCAAAAGTTTGGTAGAACTGGCTGTTACATCTCCCTAAAAGACTATAAACATTTGGCTCCAACTGTTGCACATATTTTAAAGTTTTTAGTTGGCCTGTTAATTGATCATCACTTTGATCCTAAGTCCCTTTAAAGCATGGCAGAACATTTTTCAAAACATTGATAGTATCCTCCTAATACACTGTACATTTGATGGAACTTATTTGTAATCTGCTTGTATACAAGAAGGACAATTCAAGGGCCCCACATGTAGCTTTGATAAATCCCATTCAATGGCACTTATCAGGGTCAGACAGACTTTCAGTACGTTTTATGTTTTTATTATATAAACAAGTTTCTTAAACAACTCTCTTGGAACAAAGCAAAGGAAATATATTCCACATCTGGAAAATTGTATTGAAGTACAGAAACCAGTTGTGGCACAGAATTCAAGTTGCTAAGAATTTGATTTCTTTATAAAACACTTGTGACAACAAAGATACCACCATTATTTGGGGATTATGACTGGATGACATCTTCATAGTAAGAGAAGTGACTAGGCAAAGCTTCCAATAGTTGAGCGTTTGGTTTAAAAACAGGGAACAGAATCCAAGAAGCTATGACGTTCTGCGAAAAGGAGTAAAAAGGATCACATGTTGCAGCTCTTCTGTATCCTTAACTAGCAGATTCCTACTGTTGGGAAGTCAGCACATAGTTCTCTTGACATCTTTATGTTTTACTCAAAGCTCAGAAATTGTATTTTTGGCACTACAGCTCCCCCATTGTTTTTCTCTTGTGAGGTGAAGAAGAAATTCCTCATAGAGAATTGTCCAAAATAAAATGTGTGTTTGGGAGGGGGGGGGGGGAGTAGAAAAGGAGTCAGGATGTAAATCAGTTGTGTGCAGTTCTACAGGTTCAGAGACCATTTCTGCCATCCCATTTGACCTCTAATGGTGTACCTTTCCTCCTCAACCTCTGGAAGAAATCACATCCCTTAGAAACATGGGGAAGGGCACAATTTGCTATGGAATTTGCATAGTAAATGGTGCCCTCCAGACATTAAGGTATGCACTTTGTAATTTTGGGGACTGATTTCTCCCACAATGAGACATTCAGAGGATTCTAAAAATAGCATACTTCACTCACTCTTGTATAGACAGTGACAGGAGCCAACAGACATTTGGAATGAACAAATACAACAAACCTTTATACCTAGTCTTGCCATTCCCATACCAACCTCTGCAGTCTGGGCAGAGCCACCGGCAACGTCTCTGTGTTGGAAGCATCACCCCTGGGAACTGACCCTGACAACTGGCACAGTACCTGGGGGAGGAAAACAGTTAAGAATGACAATCATATATATATATATATTAAAAAAACAACTTTCAACCATAGAAGTTTAACATTTATTTTTTGAGACAGTCAGAAGCCCCAATTCTAGGACTTACAAAATCTTAGACAGGTCAGGAACCACTTACTTGCAGGACATCCTTTTTCAGTTCTGAACTTTCTTAAGAGGTGGGAAAGCACACAGAAAGTCCCGTGGTCATGGAACTGCCAAGCATCATGCTGCTTTGTACTTTCTTCTCCAATGACAGAAAAATATCTTCTTACTATGAATGTTCCTCCCAGGGGCAAACAAGTCCATTAGCTTGTCTAGTATTGGAAAATTTCTAGATTCAGAAACCACTCCCCTGGAATAATGATATGCCTGATCAGTAGCATGCTTACTCATTGAGAGAACTTTTCAAATAGCCTGCCATCAGGGACTTAAAGAGTGTGTGGTTCATTGAGGAATTCTGCTGGATTCCCTGATCAAATGATAGATGAAACACTCATTCGACTGCATACGTACACGTTTACTGTTAAATTATATGTGTAAATTTGAATATGCTTGCTTTTGATGACACTGTCAAACGCTTTTTAAAATAATGTTTATTCAGAAAAGCAAATATGTATATGAAAGAGTGCGTTACACAAGATTAATAGAACAAACATGTTTTTAAATGTTGTATGTTTTAAAACTACACATCTATCTTTAACCTACTACAACTACAAAACACCAACTAAGGACCAATTAAAAATATGGATTGTAAACACAAGGATATAAGTACAATTGCTCAAGACGCAAAACTAGCAGACAAAAACAAACCATTCATCTACAAACCTCTCACCCTTTATCTAATTTATCTCTTATTAATCTACTCTCTTCATCTGGTTTTACATAGCCATACTTCTACTTTTAATGACATTTTTCTAATTAATAAATCTCACAATTAACAAATATCCCCATCACTATTATTACAAAGTAATTAAATAATTCCCAATCTTTCTTAAAACGGACAAATATGTCTCCTTATTCATCCTGATTCACCCTAGATTAACTAATTCTCAAATCTTCAACCATTCTCATATTCCATCTTCCCTTTTCCATATTTTTCTTCTTGCATTTGTTCTCTCTCCTTGTCAATCCTGATTCTGTATTTCATCCTCAATATGCTCAGTTGATATAGAATCACATCACAAATCACTGATCTTACAAAGTTATTCACCATGTCTCTATAGATTTTTCTGTTTGGCCATATAAGAATCAGTTGATAGATCTTACCAGCTACATGAAACTTTCAAAAAGTTAGCCAAGGCTTCAAATATTTTAACATGAATGACTTCTTCCTGTTGTTCTCTCTCTCCTTAAAATTATGTGCTGGTGCTTCTAAAAATTCCTCCTGCTTGTGTATTTATTTCTCGAACATTTCTACCTGATTTTGAGCCCAGAGTTTATATTTCACTGATTTTTGATTCATCTAAGTTAGTTCCCCAGTTAACTTTTCCAAAGAGTTGCATATCTACCTCAAATCACCTGAAAAGTCCCGTCTCATCATCCTTAATTCATAAAACTGTTTGTTTCTTGTTGATCCAAAGTTCTCAATTCTTTAAGAGCCATTCGTCTGGAAATCCTCTAAATTACGAGTTGATCTACAACATCGGTGATTTTCAGGCATCAATTTTGAATAAACAAAATTTATTCAACTGGTGGGGACGAGGGATAGGGCCTTCTCGGTGGTGGCCCCTCGACTCTGGAACTCTCTCCCACTGGGGATCAGAACTGCCCCTTCCATTCTGTCATTCAGGAAACAGGTGAAAACCTGGCTATGGGGTTTGGCTTTTGACGAGGGAATCAATATTTCTGTGATCGGATAGATGACGATGAATGATGGACAACGAATTCACTATGACGACTGACCATTGTTATTATGTGATTGCATTTTGCTGTTATAACGTTTTAATTGAATATGTTATATGATGTTTTTAATTATTGTTTTGTGATTTTATTGTTGGAAACCTGCCCGAGTCCCCCGATAGAGGGGAGAAGACCGGTATACAAAATTGCTAAATAAATAAATAAATAAACACACAATGATTCCGTAGTTTAAGTTCCCTTTAAGAGTTCCCATTAGTTTCAAAGTTGTAGTTAATTCTACGATGTGGGGTAAACAATATTGAGCAAACAAACTTTAACTCTTTGTTAATTGTGTACATGTTGTTACTAAGTCCAGCTTTCCATGTTTTAATGGCCTTTATAGGCCTATTTTGCAGTTCTCAGATGCTGGTGGGGGAGTTATTGCTTGCAGTCACTTGCAACTGCAGCTTTGTTGATTTATGTTCCCTTAAAACTCAGTTCATTAGGGGTTTTTTTTTTATATAACTCATATCTATCAGATAAATAGAAGAATGTAGGTCCATAAGGGAAAATAATTAATCATCAAATTCAGAGCTACTCATAAAGTAAATCTTCAGTTTCTTCTTTAAAAACTGACATTGGCACTGGGTTGCTGTGAGTTTTCCAGGCTGTATGGCCATGTTCCAGAAGCATTCTCTCCTGATAATGGTTGTGAGGTTTGTTGGAAACTAGGCAAATGGGGTTTATATATCTGTGGAATGTCCGGGGTGGGAGGAAGAACTCTTGTCTGTTTGAGGCAAGTGTGAATGTTGCAATTGGCCACCTTGATTAGCATTTAATGGCCTAGCAGTTTCGAGGTCTGGCTTCTTACAAATTGTTTGTGCTCATTGCTGTGGATTTTCCAATAGCAATTTTAAATATGACTTTGGTGAAGGTTGCATTCTGATACTGGAGAGAGATCCTAACCTCCTCCCTTGCTGATTCCCTGCACTTTCCATCACACCATAATTCTGTGGAGATGGAGATTCTCATACCAACCAGAGCCTCCATTACATCCCACCTTCATTTCTAATATGGCCACTTGAAGCAATAGTTATTGTTTTTTCCACATCCAGAGATAATCTTTCCAAATGAACATCCTTTTAAGCATCAGATTTCTTTACTAATGAGGTAATTTTAGATTCTTTCTGCCCCTCAAATTTCCACTAATCATCTCTTTCATTATATATTATTTATTTATTTATTTGTATCCTGCTTTTCTCCCACAGATGGGTCTCAAAGCGATGAACAAAATAGAAAAAAAAACTACATAATACAGATAACCATCATCCCCTCAACCCAACATATAACCAATAAATCAATATATTGCATAAAACACAAATTACATAAATATAAACTTAAAAGTGACCACACATATCATTCTCATTTAGATCCCTATGCCTCAAGCCACTCTTTCTCTTTCCTTTTACATTATGGAGATTACACTAACATGACTTCCACCTTCCTTTCACTGGATATTAGAAATATTATAACTAATTTTCCTCTTTATGAGTGACATCTGGATTAATTTTATTTCATTACTATCTGAGAGGCATTCATCAGTGGAACTTTCTGCCCCGGAGTGTGGTGGAGGCTCCTTCTTTGGAAGCTTTTAAACAGAGGTGAATGGCCATCTGTCAGGGGTGCTTTGAATACAATATTCCTACTTTTAGGCAGGGGGTTGGACTGGATGGCCCATGAGGTCTCTTCCAACTCTATGATTCTATCTGAACATGGAGCCTGCTAGGACTGGGTTTGATCATCACCTCCATCTCACTATTTTCCTTTTGTCAAAGGCTTTCATGGCCGGAATCACTGGGGTGTTGTGTGGTTTTTATGCTGTATAACCATGTTCTAGCAGCATTTTCTACTGATGTTTCGCCTGCATCTGTGGCTGGCATCTTTAGAGGATTTCTTTTTCCCCCTGAAGTGCTAGAGCCACAAGGCTTGGTGGAGATTTTACCATTATTTTTAAGATTTTCCGTATCTACAATCTGCTGAGAGGGAGTCAGTGAGCTGTACTCTGTTACTGTTACCAATACAGTTGTCTTTTTCTTCTTCTCCAGTATCAGAGTGATGACTCCTCTTTGTGCCTCATCTTTCACACTGTCCTCCTTCCGTAGGAATCTGAAGACCTGGATGTTTAAACAAGTCTCTGAGAACATCTAGCCCCAATGGTTCACAATTAAATATTCAGCATTGGACTTTCATCCCATGCCTTGTTCCTTAGCCACAATTTGCACTATCCCATTCCCTCAACTTGTTTACAGTTTGGCCATGTCTTACGGTAGTTGTCACAAGAGGTCATTGGGTGTTATTCGGAGTTTTACATTGTTGTATATGCTATAGTTTTACTTGATTGTATTGTACTGTGTGTTTTTTATGTTTTGTTTCAGGCACTTTGTGCCATATGTAAGCCACCCCAAGTCCCTTAGGGGAGATAGATGTGGGGTACAAGAATAAAATTATTATTATTATTATTATTATTTGAAACACAACAAGATGAGTCCACAGCAGACACTCTGCTGGCTGTTGTATTGGATCACACGTTGGACACTTCCCAAGTGTCTAGGACTGTGTGATATATTGGCAAATAATGTGTGCAGATCCTAGTAAGATGACCTTTTGCAGCTGGCAGACAGTAATCTTGTCAGCGCCGATTGTGTTTAAGTGCAGGCCAAGGTCTTTAGGCACTGCACCCAGTGTGCCGATCACCACTGGGACCACCTTGACTGTCTTTGCAGTTCGATATTATTATTATTATTATTATTATTATTATTATTATTATTCAAATTACTCCCCATTATTATCCAATACTTAAATGGAGATTTTATATAAGAAGAGAGTTCAAACATACAATCAGATGGTATGGCAGGAAAGAAACTACTGGAGGGGAAGGGGAGGTGTCTACCGTCTTAACAGAAAAGAACCTTGGACTTCTGTCTGGCTAGCTGGTGCATAGGGGAAAAAAAGAGTGTAGATTAATTCGTGTCCCTATGGCTCTCAATCCCTCCACAATTGCCCACCCATTCCTGTGGCATCAGGCTGACTATTTTTATTAAGTGTCATTTATTTGGGGGCTTCTAGCCTTGACACAGAAGGTTGTCCAAACAACTGGTTATCTATCATCTGAAAAGGGCTATAGAAATGCTCACGCTATACTTTCTTCCAGATTAGCCTCCTGCACTGCCCCATCTTCTATTTTTTCTGGAGCAAGAAGGAGTGTGTCGTGTTGTGGCTCCTGAGGTTGTGGTGCTGGCTCAGGCACAGAAACAGGAAGCTCTTGTTTCTCGATCAGAATTTCAGTGGGGGCTTCTACCGGTAACTCAAGCTCCGATGTTAGAGGTTTCTGGTCCAGTGGTTCTTGGTCTGGAGGCTCCTCAAACACTTCCAAGTCAGGAGGTTTCTTTGCAGGAGGAGTGGCTACCGGTAGAGATGGGAGACACCTCTTGCTCTTCTTTTTGACCTGAGGAAGGGGGTAACAGATAGGCACTATCAGCAACATGATGCACATAATGTGATACTAAGCGATGGATTCCCTGGCATTCAGGCTCTTCACTTTAATGAGAGTGTCTTGCATGACAACTAGCTGTAACCTAGATGGAACAATTGTCATATGGGAGTAAGTATTTTCCTTCATCTCTCTCCAAAATTTTAGAGCAGAGGTCCTCAAACTAAGGCCCGGGGGCCGGATACGGCCCTCCAAGGTCATATACCCGGCCCTCACTCAGGGTCAACCTAAGTCTGAAATTGCTTGAAAGCACACCACCACCACCACCACAACAACAACCTCATCTCATCAGCCAAAAGCAGGCCCACACTTTCCATTGAAATACTAATCAGTTTATATTTGTTAAAATTGTTCTTCATTTTAATTATTATATTGTTTTAAAGTGTTTTTCTTGCACTACAAATAAGATATGTGCAGTGTGCCTAGAAATTCATTCATTTTTTTTTCAAATTATAATCCGGTCCTCCAACAGTTAGAAGGACTGTGACCTGGCCCTCTGTTAAAAAAAGTTTGAGGACCCCTGGTTTAGAGCATAGACAAAAGGCCTCCTTTTCCCAATCTCCTTAGGCCAGGGGTGGAAATTGCATGTCATCCAAATGTTGCTGAACTGTAATTTGCAGCAGTCCTAGACAGCACAGCCATAGGTGAAGAGTACTGAAATGCAGCAACACTTCGAAGACTACATAATTCTGACCCCCCAACCCTATATACTAGTATACAGCAAAGAGTGTAGACACAGAAGACGGAAAGCTCTCTCCTTTCCAAGTGTTTCCCCCTTAACTACAATATTTCATGCCCAAAAAAAAAGCAGTCACAAAGACAATAAAGTATTTCCTGTCACAACCTCTGAGGATGCCTGTCATTGAAGCAAACAAAACGTCAGGAGAGAATGTTTCTGGAACATGGCCATACAACCCGAAAAACTTACAGCAACCCAGTATTTCCTGTCATCTATGTATTTGCTGTCACAGTTACTGAAAATACACAGTAGATATCACTACTGTCCCAAACTGTCAAAACTATGCCCAAAGTGTTAAAGAGTTGCAGGAATATGGCATATAACCTGGAAACAATGCTAACATATTATTCTTAAACATTTGGATTGAAATCCACAATAGTTATGCATTTCTCCATTTTAAATTTCTCTGATTTACTCTGCAAATGTGCCTTGGGATGGATCTACACTGCCTGAGGCCCTTTTCACACAGCTGAATAAAATAATAATAAAAATAAAACTTTATTTATATATCGCTCTATCTCCCCGGGGGGACTCAGGGTGGTTTCCAAACAACATCGAAACATACAGAGTCACAACATTAACAAAAAACAACAGTAACAGCAACATAAGATGCTGTTACCCAACAACACATAAATATTAAAAGAAAAAATCTCACATTTTCTGCCTTGAACTGGAATATATGGCAGTGTAGACTCAACCCAGTTCAAAGCAGATATTGTGGGATTTTCTGCCTTAATATTCTGGTTTATATGGCTGTGTGGAAGGGCCCTGAGTCTCCACTGTCAGATAATCTGGGATAAGTAGATAATCTGGGATCCGATCCTGGAATATAGGGCAGTGTAGAAGGGGCCTTGCTTGACATTTGAGCAGAAACCTAGCCATTGGATAACTTCACCTTGGCGAAACCAATTGTCCAAATCATGCCTTGGAAGATTTCAAAATTGTCAAGGATTTGACTTACAGAGTTGTCACACTACAAAGGTTCCATTTTTTCCACAAATGTAACAAGCATAAACTAGATTGTGAGGGGGGGGGGGCATGCTAATGCCTTTCCTTTCTCTAATACAATTCCTCAAGTGTCATTTCACAACCAATCTACATATTACACAGTTCTGGCCTAAAGAACCCACATGTGCATACTCACCTTCTGGAATCTTTGTCGAGCAATTGGTTGTGGCGGTGGTGGTGTTACTGGGGGCTGAAACAAGAGAAAGAAGCAATTAGAGGAGGAGACAACTAGGTTTTATTTCTAATATGTCCGAGGCCCCTTCTACACTGCCATATAATCCAGATTATCAACACAGATAATCTGGATTTTATATGGCAGTGTAAAAGGGGCCTGAGATCAATACATTCGCCACTTCAATGAATCAGTGGTTCCATAGTCAAATTTACTCAGGTATAACTCTTTAAAACCCGAACTCAACCCTGCATCCCAGGCTTCAAACAAAACCAACCAAGCTATAGTTGGATGGAGTATAGTTTGTAGGTGCACACAGAAAGCGAATGAGTTGCAAACTGCATCTCATCCAAGCATGGAAAGCTCATATATTGATCATGAGCCAGCTATGTCTCAGTCTAGCATACTTTACAGCAGGGGTCCAGAAACTTTTTAAACAGGGGGCCAGGTCACAGCCCCTCACACTGTTGGAGGGCCGGATTATAATTTGAAAAAAACATGAATGATTTCCTATGCACACTGCACATATCTTATTTGTAGTTCAAAAAACACTTAAAAACAATACAATAATTAAAACGAACAATTTTAACAAATATAAACTTATTAATATTTCAATGGGAAGTGTGGGCCTGCTTTTGGCAGATGAGATAGGGTTGTTGTTGTTGTTGTTGTTGTTGTGTGCTTTCAAGTTGTTTCAGACTTAGGTTGAACCTGAGCGAGGGCCAGGTAAATGACCTTGGAGGGCCATATCTGGCCCCTGGGCCATAGTTTGAGGACCCCTGCTTTACAGGGTAGTTGAAAGGACATCATGGCAATGGAAGGAAAGTAAAGCATGGACCCCACTTTGAGCCCCTTAATGGAAAGGTGGAGTTCTTAATGAAATATGAACAAGTCATTGATAATGTAGGCCTGTTTGCTTTATCCTCCAATGAAGCTCTTTAAAAACCCATAAAGTTTTAAGTTAGCTGATCTGTCCTACAAATATGATAAGAAGTCACAGCTTATTTCGACAAAATGATTTCTGCCATCATAATCCAATACTATGTGTATCCATACCTCAGTACTTGGATCCACAAAAATCCCTTTCTTGAAATGAAAGTCTGTGAGGTCTCGAGAACATCCAAGCAACTTATTCAGCTCCACTCTGCTGCGGATCTTCTCACCTCTAGGGCTATGGGAACAGGGGCAGCAGTTAGATGACTCAGAAAACTGTATTGAAAGTATGAGTTTGTGTCAGACTCATCTGAACTGGAATGTCTGCCTACCAAAAAGAACTCCTCAATCTTGGCAATGAGGTAGGTGGTGGTAGGAGGTCAAAGAAGACAGGTAAGGTAGAGAAGCAAGTGAAGACCCGAAAGAAAAAGGATAAAACTATGTCATGTATAAAGAAAGTAAAAAAGCAGGGTTTTTTTTCTCCCTATCTCAAAATAACTTGCAGCTTGATTTATCTAACAAAAGTCTACAAGGTAACAGGAAACACATTTCAACTGAATTTATATCAAATTCACTACCACAAGGGTTTGTGATGGCCATCAACACAGACAGCTCTAAAAATGTCATTCATTGGTCATATGTATAGACTATGGAATTGTCAATGGCCTCTAGAAATGATAGCTACAATTACTGCTAGCACCAGAAATATTCTACCTTTCATTAGCTTCTGTCTTCATGCCCTAATTGCTATATGTAGTTGTCTACTATGACAACAAAAGGATGGACCGGTAAGATCTTTAATCTGATCCAGCAAAGGTATTTTTACATTCGAAAAGCTGCGTATTACACCAGAACTTTCCAATTTCTGATGCAGTTTCCTGTATGTTAATATAAGATAAACAACACCCAACAGTCAATGATAATGTTTAGATTGACAGATGTAATTCAATGCTATACAGTAGAAGAAATGTATGACATTCTGAAAAAGAGTGACCAACATTTTACCACAATCTCCCCTCAAGTAACCTACCCCCCCCCACCCCGTGCAAGATTTGTTTGGGATTCTACACCCATCCTTCCATCTATACCAGTGGTTCTCAACCTGTGGGTTCCCAGATGTTTTGGCCTTCAACTCCCAGAAATCCTAACAGCTGGTAAACTGGCTGGGATTTCTAGGAGTTGTAGGCCAAAACACCTGGGGACCCACAGGTTGAGAACCACTGATCTATACAATATTTAAGGAAATAAGAACCTGAGGTTCTGATATATTCATGGGACATATATATTTAGAACCTGTATTAGAAAAAAAAATGGATTTGCTTTCCCTGTTCACTGTCGTTACTGCCACAAACAAGAGCATGGACTACTGTGGCATGGACTATCTTCCCAGAAGGAATTCTCTCCCCCAAACCCATTACCTCATGTAATACGTATCTGACTGTCCAGTTCTTGTTCCATTTTTACGTAAGACTTGACGACGCTTCCAACCAGGTCCCAATGAGGGGCAATCTATCCAGCCTTCTGTCATGTTGTCTTCCCAAGGAAGAAGATACCATAAGACAGACTCTGAAAGAAGAGTGACGAAAGATAAGATCACAATATTCACTTAAGATGCACAAGACAGACCACAGTACTAGAAAGCACACAAGTGACAGTAAAAAAAAAAGGCTTCCACAGAATGTGGAACTAGTTCCCTCCACATGTAGGTCTTCCAATTCATCTATACCTACATGATTTTCAGACCAATACAGCAATGTAGCTGTATAGTCTGATATCCTGAGAAGTCTGGTGTAGGCATTTCTTTAAGGCAGTATATTACTAGTTCTTACATCTGGAAGTCATGATACCATACATATGGTTAGTAACACCAAGTGAAGTCTCAAAGATCTTATGAGAGCAGGGCTTCAAATGGATAGAAAGGGAATGGTTAAAGGTCCTTTGGTAAAGAAAAAAAACACACATCTAACCAGGCCCGTAGCCAGGATTTCGTTTCCGGGGGGGGGGGCTGAATTTTTTTCAGGGGGGGCTTCGGGGGGGCTGAGTCTGAGTGAAAGAGGGTCTACCCTAGCAAACCTTTTGTATCATTACCCCAATACCCCCATGCATATGGGATATATTGAGTATGGTGATCAGATCATGATATGAATAAACATAACAGTTTAAATAATGCACCAGTAAGGCCTTTTCGCGCGAATTCATGAGAATTTGGGGGGGGGGCTCAAGCCCCTCAAGCCCCCCCCCCTCCCCCCGGCTACATGGCTGCATCTAACCATTTCCTGGATAGCAAAGGGTTGGACAGGATAGGCCTTGTGGTCTCATCCAATTTCTATGATTTTAGGATTCCACTACAACTCATGCTCCTTGATTGTTAGACATACAGTCCACCTACTCCCCAAAAATCTTTCCCGCTGTCTATTCCACAGTTTTTTAATCTAAATTTCCCACATAAGACTTCATCTTGCAGCAATGCATGTATAAGTATTAAGGTCTGTACACTAGAGCTGCTATGTCATGACAACAGATTGTACAAAACAGCTTTTAACATCAAGGTTTTTCCTTAATTAAACACAATGGAGTCCACCTTTTATAAGCTGCATTGGCACCTAGATCCATGCAAAAAGTGCAGAAAATGTATTTATTTATTTATTTACAATATTTATATTCCACCCTTCTCACCCCGCAGGGGACTCAGAGCAGATTACAATGTACACGTATATGGCAAACATTCAATGCCAGAGACACACAACACATATAGACAGACAGTCAGAAGCTATTTGACTTTTCTGGCTGCCAGGGAAGCTGTTGCTTTCATTGTCCATCTGCGACACTGATGAAGTACTTCCGCATTCCCCGCATGCTTTGCTGGAGTGCTTTGCTGGAATCTTTTTTATGGCCTCATAAATTAGTTAAATTAGCCTCCCCACACATAGGTGGTACCTAATTTTCCTACTTGACAGAGGCAACTGTCTTTCGGGTTGCAAAGGTCAACAACAAGCTACACAATTGGTCAGAAGCTCACTCCCTCCCGGGCTGACTTAGAACTCATGACCAGAAGCGATCTTAATGCAGCTGACACTCAGCCAGCTGTGCCACAGTCCCGGTGAGAGAAGTGCCTTTACACACTGCTTAGGGAAAGTAATACTTTCAAAAGCAGAAAACTGGATCAAATCAAGATAGCTCTAGTAAGGCTGTAATCCCTGATCTAGTTTCACATACAGTTAATGGGAGAACAACAATGGCCAGAGAAGTATCCTTCCACAATTTTCAAGCAGAAACAGGGCAATTCAGAGCCGAAAGTAGTTTGATCATTCTCTGAAAGCTGCCCCAGATCATAGGAATCACCAGCTCCTCTAGCAGCAGCAGAAGAAGCAGCAAGATCTATCTATTTATGACCAGCACACCCTTTTCAATTATGCTGGAAAAATTCCACTCACTGTCATGGACTCAAATCTGATGTTTTCAAAACCACCTCCATGCCACAAGTTCACAGCCAAGGTTGAGGAATGAAAACATCTGGAGCCTTGCGTGGGAAAGAGCCTAATAAGACTAACGGGCTCAGACCTGGAGGCAATACGGATAAACCTTTGGGAGTTGAGCGGGTGGGGTGTTTGGGGGTTATTGAACTGAGACTTGCCTGTGTTTTCTTCATTCGTACCTTTGCTGTATAATAGTAGCCTAGCATTGAAGACATTTCCAATATTTCCTTGTGAAATTATCAAGGTTCTGCAATCAAGGTTCAGCAATCATGACACTCACTGATAATCGATTGTGCTTATCCAACTACAAACAAACTTTTTGCTGTAAGGGTTGATTTTTAGAGACCTCATATCTATGAGAATACCATGAAGACACAAAGGCCAGGTGAAACGTCCCAATTTGCCTGGCTTCACCAAGAAAAAAGAAGGGCAGCAGGGCAAATCTGATGCCCCATGAACAGCTCCCTCTCAGTGACATTTCCCCCATCACATGGGGGAAGTCTCCCCCTCCCCGCAAAGCCCTGTGATAGCGCAACTGGAGCCAGCACAACACGGAAAGCTTCCTGTGTTGTGAGGAAAGTGTTCAGTGACACTTTCTGCCTGGTTGGGGCAAGGCGTCCGCCAGAAGTCACATGACATTGTGTGGTGGCTGGTGTGGGGCTCTATTCATTAAACAGGGTGAAAGTATCCTAGGATGCTAAAATCCCCCCATCCGGTGAGGTCCAAAGGTACCAAGTTGAATGCTATCTTCTATCATAGTAATACACCTAACCAGTAATCACATATATTTTTGCAAGCATGGCACGTTCACTTAATGGATTACCTTAATGACAACCCTTAACATGTTATCAGGGTCTATATGCCACCCCAACTGGTATGTAGGAGACAAATACTTGGGGAAGTCAAGAGGCAGAGGATGTTACCTCTAAGACCTGGGCGTCTGTGGATGAGCATTACACTCCATTTGCAACCCAGCATTCTTCCACACTAGAGATGCCAGCCACATATGCAGGTGAAATGTCAGGAGAAAATGTGTGGTTTCTGGGCCATACCACACAACACCCCAGTGATTTGAGCTGTGAAAGCCTTTGACTCCTCCAGAACTTCAGATTATTATTGTGTTGGACTCTTAAGAGGGGCTATCCTTGAAAACAGTCCAGAAGCTACAGATCAATAATTATATTTACCAATTTCCTAACAAAGAACAGGAAAGAGGACACACTAGATAGATCCATTGCAGCTAGTTCTTGGTTACAATGTTACCTCCTTTCAGTTGCTAAAAATCATACTAGTGACTAAGCCATGTTAAGCTGTTTTATAGTATTAACACGTTTGGGAAATATGATTTGGAGATTTTCTAAGTCTTGTTGATAGCCAAGGGACACCTGACAAGCTTCACTAACTGCAGATGACACAAATCAGGAACTAGGAATCTTACCAGGTTGAAGGCAAATGACAGATTTTATTCAATTTGTGCAAAAGGGACACTTGTACAGCACAGATGTTTGAAGAGTAGAAGTGTTAAAGCATAATCATAAGCAGACATTTTATACACATACGTTTCCATTCACTAATATTGCTCTGCTTGAAATTCCCTCCCCTTCCACTGACTGACCAGTGCCAAGAAGCTGGCCGACATCCTCCAGGCCTCTGATTGGTCCAAACCAATGCGGACCCTGATTGGAGAAGGCAGCAATGACATAGCTGGGGATCTCCTCCCAGCTGGACAGGGAGACCCCGAAGCTTCCAATGGACTGGTGGAGGCAGTCCTGGGGAGGAAAGAGGCTGTGCCAACCCCTGGGAATGTGGAAAACAAAGAGAAGTCTAGAAGCTGATCTGACAGGATTATGCAGATACCGGGGCCCGTCCGGAGAACAGAATGGGAGTTGTTGTCCCAGACATCTTCCCATTCCAGGAGACAAAGAAAGAGTCTCAAAGATGTATATTTGTTGATGGGATTGTAATCACAGTTTCATCCTGGACCCTTGTCCACTCGTGCACACATTTGCATAAGGAATAATAAAACATTAAAAGAAATAGAGATACATAGTAGCACGGGCTTGGGTAATGGAGGTGTTTTAGATACGTCATAGCCATCTAGCTTGTACCTTGGCTGGGAAGGATCAGCTGGACAATCTCCATTGAAGCTGAGGAAACTTGCCGGAGTAGACTGGCTCAAGTCAAAGAGCTGGGCCAAGGGTGTGTGTCTGTGTCCGGGGACTATGTGTGTGGGCTGCTGCTGATCCTTGGGAGGCTTGAGGAAGGTCATGGGGACAGAGACCATTTCCAGTTCATCTGGCCTTCCAATCCTTGGGAATCTATCATTCCCATGGAGATCAAAGTATGTCTTCTTCTTATTAGGGGTGGGGTTGGGGGTCCTCAACAACAAATGTTCCACTTAGAATTTTTCCCATAATTTAAGAACTTATTTAAAACTACAACTGACACATGTCCTACTTTCATCAATTCCTTCTTTTCCCTCCCCACATACCTTTCCCATTTTCCCTTCTCTTCCTTCCCCACTCTTTTTTCTTGCCCCCATCCCTCCCTTCCTTCTCTTTTCCCTTGTTTCTCTCTTTCTTTCTTCCCCTCCTCTTTCTCCCTTCTCCAGCTCTGAGAGGGCCTCACAATGGCTCCATAGCAACGTGGCTGTCTGTGGCTCTTCCTTCCTTACGTCCCTTTTTCCCAGTGACAACACAGATGACCTAGCAACAGACATCACAAAGGGCCACTGAATGGTCACCTAGCAACAGCCTTTGTAGTACAGACAGACGGATGCACAGGCAGACATTGACTTTTACAGATATATATGCCTGTCTTTGAATTAAATCAAGAATGTAAGTATCTGGGACCACTGTCTTACCGCTTATTCTTTCAGTTGATCCACATCGGCACACTTCTCTTCAGCTATATACAAATAATAGTACCTTTCTTCAAATGTCATTTGCACACATGTCTTAACATTTCCACCACCTCCTGCAACTGTAGGATTTAACAGAATATATAGACCCAAGTTGCATTGTTTGCTTAAGAGAATAACTAGAGACCGAGTTCTCACCATCTCTTTTCACACTGCCTCTAAAAAGATAA